AATGAGAAGCAAACCTCGAGGAAGGAAAGCTGGAAGAGGTAGGGTACGTAAGATACCAGCCATAGTTGGCCATCGTCCCCCCTCTGGTTCCTTCATATGCAAATTCTACCAGCAGTCACGTAACCCGCAACAGACATGCAGGAATGCAAGCAACCTGGTTAGCGTATCTCTACAGCAACTGAAGCGAAAGAACAGTCCATGTCTCCCTTCTGTATACATGTGCAATGCCCGCTCTTTGCTGAACAAACTAGATGAGTTTGAACTCACATTGCAACAGTACAAGGTTGACATCGCCATTGTGACGGAGACCTGGTTTTCCACAGCAATGCCCAGCGAATTCCTGAATGTTGATAACTACACCCTGTTTGCTACAAGCAGAACGGACCGACGAGGGGGAGGTGTTGCTATCTACACTCACGAGAACATCCAGGCGAGGCCAATCTCTCACGTTCAGGTACCCCCAGAACTTGAGTGCGTGTGGGTTTGGGTCCGTCCCAAGCGACTCCCACGGGAGGTGCCATCTATTGCACTGTGCGCTACCTATAGCCCGCCCAACTCGAAACACCAAGAACTCCTCATCGACCATCTTGTCAACACAGCCGACCTTCTGAAAACGTTCAACCCAGACGTAGGACTGATACTGGCTGGCGACTACAACCGTCTGGACTACAAGCCCCTTGTCTTGTCACACCGACTAGAACAGGTGGTTCCTGCCCCTACGCGTGGGGATGCCACGCTGGACGTCATTGTCACCAACCTCAAGTCCTTTTACCTTACCCCAGAGGTCATGAACCCATTAGGAACTAGTGACCACAAAGCTGCCTGGTGGCAGTCAAGAGTCCGGACACAGAGACCAAACCAGACTAAGCATGTCGTCGTCCGTCCCCTACCAGACTCCAGAATACGGGCCTTTGGCCAATGGATAACATCGCACACTTGGGACGAAGTACTGCAAAGTGACACTGTGGAAGAAAAAACTGCTGCATTCTACCGCACCCTGAACTCTGCCATAGAAAACTACTTCCCGCTAAGGAAGTGCTCTCTACACCACAGGGATAAACCCTGGATAACGGCCTTACTGAAAGACCTCATCCACAGAAGACAGCAGGCACACAGTAAAGGCCACATGGTACTTTACCGTTTCCTGGGGAACAAGGTCGACCGCGAATGTAAAAGAGTCAAGAAAGAGTTCTACAGTGACCAGGTGGCTAGACTGAAGAGATCTGACCCGTCTGAGTGGCACAAGCAGGTACGGCGGCTAGCGAACCTTTCCAAGCCTACCTCCACAATCCACGTGCCAGGGGTGGACCCGTCAGACACGAGCACCTGCGCTGGAGCCATCAACACCCATCTAGCTACCATTTGTAAGGCTCTACCTCCACTCGACATGGACATGCTGCCAGCTTTCTTACCGGCCACTCCACCGCCACAGGTTGATCCATGGCAGATGTACCAGCGCCTCAAAAGGGTTAAAGTGAACAAGGCCCCAGGCCCTGATGCCATCCCGCCCACACTCATCAGAGAGTTTGCCTGTGAACTAGCCACTCCACTCACAGACATTACAAATGCATCACTACAACAGGGCAGAGTGCCACCGGAGTGGCGGGACGCGATCGTCATCCCCGTCCCGAAAGAACAACCAGCTGACTTAGACAAGATTAGGCCGGTGTCACTGACGTCCCAGTTCGCTAAAGTGGTGGAGGGCTTTGTCCTCTCGTGGCTACTGCGGGACATCTTACCAATGGTGGACACAAGACAGTTTGGAAATCTCAGAGGCATCTCCACAACCCACTGCCTTATAGAGATCCTGGACTTTTTCTATAAGAGCTCAGAAAGGAAGCAATCTGTCAGTAGCCTGGTACTGACAGATTTTAGCAAGGCCTTCGACAGGGTGTGCCACACGACAGCCATAATGAAACTCATACAAATGGGAGCGCGGTCCTCTCTCCTGCCCTGGGTCTGTAGTTTCATCTCAAGCCGGAGACAGCGTGTTCGTTACCAACACGCTCTGTCTAACTGGGAGTCTCTTACCTGCGGGGTGGCCCAGGGAACGTTGCTTGGCCCTTTGCTCTTCTTGGTCATGATCAACAACGCTGGGACAACAAACAGCGAATACTGGAAATACGTTGATGATCTCAACATGGGGAAACCAGACTGGCGTACTCTCCTTCAACCCTGCAGAACGACTTAGACAGTTTAGACGACTGGTCGGTCAGGAACCACATGCTGCTGAACCCCAGAAAGTGCAAAGTGTTACATATCTCCTTCATGCAGCGTCCGCCTCCTGTTCCAGCACTCACACTGGGCGGTCAAGTCCTTACAGTAGTAACACAGGCACGACTACTGGGTCTCCAGATCCAGTCGGACCTCGGGTGGGACGCACAGGTGGACAGCATGGTGACAAAAGGATGCAGGCGCCTCTTCCTACTGTGCAGACTGAGACGGGCCGGTCTCCCAACAGTCGACCTCACCACCGTTATACTGCGGCTATGTCAGACCGCTGCTTGAGTATGCAGCCCCAGTTTGGAACGCCGCACTCACCAACAGACAGACAGTCAGACTAGAACGAGTCCAGAAACGCGCTTGCAGGATTGTGTTGGGTCGTCAGTACACTTCATACCCTGAAGCCTTGAGAACTTTGGAACTTGAATCTCTTTCCGACCGCAGATACAACCTTTGCCTGAACTTTGCGAAAAAGGTTAGACAGTCGCCCCGCTTCTGTGGCTGGCTTCCTCCGACGCGGGGAGATCTGCACGGTCGGCAGCTGAGGAACTCGCTTCAGTACTCCCAGGCCAGAGGCACTAAAAGATACACTACGAGTGCGAAGCCAATGTTGGCTAAACTCCTCAATGGACTGTAAAATTGAACTGTCATGATCTGTTCAAGAGCAGCCTTTCCTGTAAGGACTCTAATAACGCTGTTTTTTGTAATTTGTATTGATCTCCAACCACATATATGCAGTATTGTTAACGACATTGATAACATTTTGAACTTTGTATATAGATGTATAATAATATACTTTTTTAAATTGATTTTACNGTACTTGAT